TGGCCAAAGAAAAACATCTGAAGACATGATATGAAGAAAGGTTGCAGGTGTAACATATTACAACAACTTTGAGCCTGAAGCCCCATTTATTGTATTTTTAAAGAGAAAATTGCCAGCCAACTTTCAAAATATTTGTGATTTTAACTATGACATTTCACAACCTAGAGGATTTTTTGGCCACAAATTATTTTTCCAACAATATTTCAGCTTGTATTGATGTGGGGCATAACATTGGTGGTGGGGAGGGTTGGGGGGAGGAGAAGGAATATTGCACAGCTTCTTTATCTTCACGTTGTGACCTGGCACCTGATGAACTGGGATGAAATCGCGTCATTAAAGAATGAGCTGTCACAAAATGTTGAACTTTGTTCAAGTGAACAGTTCCTTGTGCGAGTGAACATACTGAGGAGGCTGTTGCTTGGGGAACTTATTTTCTCTATTAAACTCTACTACAACAATAAAAATTACAAAACCAAAATACTACAGATGTTGGAAATCTGAAAACAAAAACAGAAGTTGCTGGGAATGCTCAGCAGGTCAGGCAGCATCTATGGAGAAAGGAAAGTCAGTCAACATTTCAGGTCCACGACCCTTTGTTAGAACAAAAATGACATTTGTTTAGCGCCTGTCTCTATGAATTCTATTAACGTGTCCAGGGACTTCTAATAGTTTTGATTTCAGCAAGTTGTAACTTCCACAGTTTCACGGTTCATCTCCATCTGCTGCTTGTACATCAACAGCATGACATTTGACAAAATAGCCCCTCCCCATCTGCAATTTGTTGATTTACATTGCAAGCACACTAAGAATAGCACACTGGTGACTCTTCATCCAACTTCCATCTTAAATACAAACTTCCCTCACTGTCCTCCTGCCTGAGGAAGCCATAGAAAATCAGTCCACCCTAGACATACACAATTAAGGGCATTTGCACTGTAATCCACATTCCTATGGCATATGGTCCAGTCAGGAAACCTGCTATCAATAGGTCTTCTCTCATTGATGTATAAATCTGACTCAATGCATTATAAGCATAGCTCTGAAGTAACACTGGAATCCACTTGTGAGCTGAAGCTCTTGCCAGTGAAACTCTGATTGAAATAAAATAGTGCATGGTAGGGAGTCTGGGAATTTAACATTACGTATCAGATACAACAGATAAGACAACAAATTCCAATGAGCTTAGTTTTAGCTATTCTCATCATTGGTCTGATCAGTTCTTAATTTTATTTATACAATCTTTATATAGGTGACTTACCATAAAAAGGAGGTGCTAAGGGATAGACTTTCTTTCCATTATGGTCATCCAATTTCAGTGACATGTATCCTCAGATAAAATATGTCTTGGGCTAAAAATGTTCTCTCTATTCAGCACACACAATGTATCCTCACCCCAATTTTCAAAGTGCAATATAAATGGTATCACTTCCCATACAAGCTATCTTTATGGTATCTCAGTCAGATTGATAGTTCTGTAAATGCAGAATTATGGACAGTTTTTGTGCCCATCCCCACTAGGAACTGTATTGATACTCCAATTCTACTGGTTTATTTCACTCAGTATTTTACAGACACTAGGATGAGATGGCCTCCTTCCTGCTCTGTTTTCAAACCCATATCCCAGAGTTCAAAGAGGATAAAAAACTATCACAATCACAAATATGAGATGGGGGGATTGAGATTTATAAATAGGATACTGAATAGATCATGTTAGGATATCGGTTAGGCTGGAATAGGTTGGAATATTGTGTTAATTTTGGACATGACATTGCAGAAAGACGTCAAAGAGATGGAAAGTGTAGTGCAAGTTCACTAGAATGATACAGGGTTTAAGATAATATATGTATGGAAAGAGGCTAGATCAATTGGGACTTTTTCCACTAGAACAGAGCAAATTGATCAGGTGTATGATAGAACTGTATAACATTAAAAAGTAAACTTTAGTATTTCCTTTAGTTTGGGAAATGAGTAACAAAAGGGGGAGTGTTAGGTTAACAGATGCACGAAGAGGAGACAAGTAGTTAGGATATGGAATTCATAAATGTTGGAGATTGATTAATAGAATCATTCAAAATTGAATAAGCACCCAAGAAACAAAACTATTAAGGGATATGGAGAAAAAAATTGAAGTTGGAATTAATATAAAGGATGACTTAAAATAACAGAAATAGCAATGGTATAAACACAATTGACTTTTTTGATGCTGCAAATTTCTGTTTTTATCACATTTAGCATTTCCTATTCAGTCCACTGAGAGACTCTTTTGAAAGTCTAGATGCATTACATCATACGTTAAATTGGGATACCCACTTTATCAATTTTTCACAATAAAACAAAAATGTAAAATTACATAGTGCCTTTCACATCAGGAGAATGTCCCAAGGCACTGGACAATCCAGGAAATGCACCCAAGCTGGAGGTTGGGGTCGAGGAAGGTGAGGGGGGAAAAGATAGTTGAAAGTATGATAAAAGAGGAAGGTCTTGAGATAGACCATGAAGGGGCAAGACGAAGGGACTCTGGCATGGAGTGGGGCATGTACACTGAAAGCCCAACTGCTAATGGTGGAGTGGGGGAAGTGAAGCACAGCGGGGCAAAACCATGGTTAGGTTAGGATGAGGATCTTGAACTTGATCCGTTGTGGGTTGGCGAGGCAGGCGAAGTTAGGGGTGAGTAAGCTAGTGGGGCTATCTAGAACATCTGCCTCCATCTGGAAGCTGGTATTTCAGTGTAGGTAAAATTAATATGCAGATCTTGTCAGAGTGTCTGGCATATATAAATACTGCTGCAAGCTTGCCTTGCTTCTTAATGTTGATTAAAAAAGGAAACAAAAATATTTAAAACACATAATTAAGCTGTTATTTTATAATTGGCAAATTTGTTAAAACAGTCACATAGGACCTAACACACTTTATTATCACATGGGTTTTATCCCAAAAGGGTGAACTGCTGCTCTGTATGAGCATTCAATGTGGAAGTGGTTGTGTTTCCAAATGGAAGAGGGGAAGAAATATTAGGCAGTTGAGCCAGCATTGTATTTACATCCTTCAAGTAATTTGTTCAAGAAGGTAGGCAGAGACCATCTGGATGGAGTGAATAACTTTCAGCCTCCTTTTTATATAATTTTTTTTTGCATTATTCAAAAAATTCCTGAAAATGGGGCAATGTTTATTTAAAATGAACTGAGTTTAATGATCATATTTATAATATTCTACATTTTCTAAGTAGCCTTTATGAAATAAAAAAAGAAACCAAACAGGATTTCAAAATTACTTTGTTTCTAAGAAAACCCATTTGCAGAACGTGCTTCCATCATTGTTCATTTGTTGTCAGACCAATATCACTGTACATTGGTCATGGTGATGGGTTCTGCCATGATTGCTGTTTCGTGACCTACTTATTCTCAAAGTTCTGTTGACACTGGCAATCCAGAAGAGGCCGAAGAAATTTAATTTCTTTATTATTTGAATTTTATCTCTCTGGATTCTGTTTCCTTCTAATTAGATCTGATGTGTTTGGAGTGAACTTGATGGCAGTGAACAAAAGCCAACGGGAACCATGTTTGAAAAAGTCTTTTTGTGAACTGTTGTCGATGAGTAAAGACATGGTAAAATAAATTACTGAAAGGTGGATCTCAATGATACACTTTGTTCAGATGTGTTTGTTAGGGAGAAAATAGAAAGTCCAGCACATAGCCATATTATTAGCCAGGGTATTGAAAGCCAATTTGGAGAGATTCCAATACAGTAGCAGCAATGGTTTCTGAGATGAACAATAATGCTTTGGACATCTTCAAAGATGCAAATTACACCAGGTATTCATTTCCAGCATTGACTTGTATAATTGTGGTGTGGTCCCCATGGTAGTATATTGAGAACACTATGATAAAGTGCACTAATAGTGAAAATCCCATTCTAAGTGCTCATCATCAGAGTGCCATAAACATACTGCTACGTAGAGCATCAACCCCCAATGTCTATTGGTAAGCAACCCTCTGGAGTATATAGTACGACTTTGAAATTTAATTTTAATTCCAAAAATATAGAGCTGTACTGTGGATAAATGCCCATTCGTTAACCAATTAGATGGCTGGAGTTTCATGGCTGTTTACTGGTACATAATATAACGATTACAAGTCGACATTTCAATTGGCTTGCCAGCCATTGTGCTATCCAGTTGAAAATAAAAGTTGTTGGAAGTATGACATACAACTTGTCTCATTGATCAGCTGTCTACTGTGCAATTCTTCATTAGATTTTACTGCATGCAACTACTGTTTCAAGATTTAAACCCTTTGACTCCAGCTTTCTTGTCTGTCTAGATATCTTTAATATCCGTCTTGGCCCTACAAGTAAGAGGTTTGAATATGCACAAAACAGGTTAAGTCCAACATATAACAAATTACTATGTTTCATATTTATTATCACCTCTCAACTGTATGCAATTTTATTTCCTAGCAGTCATAGTATTTACTTGAGAATGTAGTTGATGACATAAATTGCATTGATGTATCTGTTTTCAATGTTGTATTACAGTATTACCATTGAGGTATGTTGGTGATGTAAGTTTGTGAATATAATCCCCTCTACTTTTGAGTTTCCTATCTCAGCCATGCCACGTGGGAAGGCTACGCACTTCTCTACAGAGAGGGAGGTACAGAAAGTCAGAGGAAAGCCATCCTACGGCATACGGCACAATAGTTGTTTGTACGTCTTAGTGGTCGGTTTCAGAATGGCAGAGGCAAATAGCTGGGATCAGATCAGGTGCCTGCCCTTTTAGCCAGAAATGGCATGGAGAAACTCGGAAAGGGGAAGAGGGAGAAAATGTACATCAATTGTTTTCTTTATTTTATTAATGAGAATATTAATTTTATTTTTGATATATATAATGCAAGGATTTTTCTTATTGTTGTTTATTTTAAAGGTGTTTTTATTGAATAACTCTTCCAGTTGTTTTTGCTGTACAACCTTTGCATTATGTATTATTGTGTACTGATTGACAGGCGCAGTGGAGCTTCCTTCCTATATTATTGCTTGCTTTGTGATGGACAAATTGGGAAGAAGAAATACATTAGCACCATCCCTGTTCTTGACCGGCCTGGCTTGTTTTCTCAGCATGGTGGTTCCTCAGGTAAAACCTCTCCGACTTCTAACCCCCTACACCCTGTCCGCTCCTTCCATTCAGTGGGCTCTGGCCTGCTTCACGTCCCCCGCCTTGCTCACCCCACTATCGGTGGGCGAGCCTTCCGCCACTCTGCACCCACCCTCTGGAACTCCATCCTGCAGTCCCTCCATCTCGCCCCCTTCCTCGCCACCTTCAAGACCCACCTCGAGACCCTCCTCTTCTAACGTGCTTTCGGTCTCCCTGCTTCCCCCCCCGCCCTCCACCCTCCCCCACCCCGACCCTCAGCTCGGGTCCATAACTCTGTCTATCCAGGGCCTTGGGACGTCCTCCCGATGTGAAAGGCACTATACAAATGTAATTTTGTTGTTGTTATATGAGATTTGTTTTTCTTTGTCTCAAAGATTAGTTGAAGGTTACCAAGCCTGTCATCTCTTTTATGTCCAGCAGCCCTGTTCTCATCAGGTTTCACTGGCTCCCCGTTTCCTAGCAGATTGACTTAACTCATTCCTAAAAATTCCTTGGACCCTTTGCACCTTCCTACCTCTGATCTTCTCCTTCTGTGATCTTCTCTAGCCTCTATCTACTGCTCATCCCCACTGCTTGGCAGACTTGGGCCTTCAGTGCATCACCCACCCTCTCTGCCCCATTATCGGTGTCTGACTTGGAAATTCTTTTTAATAGTGTCTACGGTCTTGCCTCTAAATTTCTCTCTGTTGCAACCTTTCTTATTTTGCCCACGAGGATAATGTCTTTTCAAATTTCCCTGCCACCAAAAACATGCAGGCTTTTGAAAGCTAGTTTGGTGTCTGATTTCTCAGTAAAGGAAACCTTCAGCCCTCCTAGGACTTGCCAGCTCATTCGGAATATTGAGAACATTTGGAGAAAGCATGAAGTGCCCATAACTTGACATGTGTAACAGACAATGTTAAGTTAACAACAACAACAACAACAACTTGGATTTATATAGCGCCCTCCACGCCAGATGGCGTCTCAGAGTGCTTCAGAGCGCTCAAAGTTAGTATGCCTAATTCATATTAACAGGTAAGACACCTGAAAAGTACTCTTGAGACTTCTCAATGACATAATAAGTGCAGGTATTCTGACATGCAGACTCCAGCATATTTTGTTTTCCAAGTTGAACATTTGAATAAAAGTAATTTCAGATGATGTGCTTGGGAAGTGATCCTGACTGGATCTTTTCTATTTGCTGCAGGACATTGAGGCTCTGTCTATCACTCTGAGCATGATTGGAAAGTTTGCCATAGCTCTGGCATTTGGGCTGATTTATCTGTACACCGCGGAACTGTATCCTACTATAATACGGTAAGTTCTGCATATAAAGTACAATTTATGTTTATACAGAGCTTTTCATGTCGGGAGGACATCTTAAAATGTTTGACACTGCTGTCTGGGCACCTGAGCTGGAAGTAGGAGCCAAAGGGTTTGGGGAGTAGAAAGATGACCAAAAGCAGGCTGAAGAGGTACGGGTTGAGATGGGCTTTGAACAAGGTGAGAAAGGTATAAACATATATACACTGCTTGAGGCTGATTACAGTCAATCAAATAAACCTGATCTTAAAAAAGAGAGAAACGAGAATAATCAAACCATAGCTATTAAGTGCTTTAAGATATTTGTTCATGTGGAAGCCACTATGTAAATGGGCAATAATAATAATAATAATAATAATCCTTGCATTTGATATAGAGCTTTTCACGTCGGGAGGACGTCCCAAAGCGCTTCACAGAACACACTGTGAAGTGAATTGACTGTATATTTGTGGGTGAACAATAGGCTAGTCATTGCCTGTCAGTGTATTATTTGATCATTGGGGTTGGGGGTGTAGCTCATTCCTGGCTTCACCAATGTCCACAATTACACTTTGCAGCATAGGCCTGGCTAGCAATCAGAAACTGAAGCCCTACTTTGATTTATTTCTCCTTCTCCAGTGCAACACATGCCCCCTATCAAGCATGCACACTACATACCTTTAGATATCCTGCAGACCTGCAATATATGTTGGTATCATGCTTTGGTATTAAAGATCAGGTAATATAGGCAACTCCGCCATGATGTGGGAAATCACTTCCACCAATGTTGTAACATAGAGCATCGGGGAGTCCTGTAGATTAATGGTTAGAGCACTTGCCTCGCAAATGAGAAGACCTGGGTTTGATTCCAAGCCAGGTGAAGCATTGGGTAAGTTTCCTTATTCCACACACCTCTGTTTAACTGGCAGTGAGTAGGAACCCGGTTGTTAGTCAATTGATGGATCGCTTTTCCGGGGGCAATAATCCCTTAAACAAAAATTTGGTCACTCAATCCATGACTGTTTGTGGGACAATTGATTGCCACGTTTCGCCCACAAAATATACAATCAATCAGTATATTCTGTGAAGCGCTTTGAAATGTCTCAAAGACGTAGAATTATTATTATTATTATATTATTATATCGTTGCTCCAGAGTGCTGCACCATGACAATGCTTGAATCAATAATATTTTTTTGATGCTCGATGTGGATCTGCCGAATTTCCAATAAATACTTTATATCACAGCTTGAAATCTCCACAATGCAGACATTTTTTTCAATACAATTAGGTTTGAGAAATAAGCTGGAGCAAAATATAATATATAAAACGAAAAACCCTGTAGTTTAGCACCTTTTTACGTCTGAAGGACGCCTGAAAGCATTTCACAGCATACACTAAAGTGCAGTGACTTTGTATTTTGTGAACCAATGCAGCAGCCAATTTTCTCACAGAGATTTGGTTACAAAAAAAGAAAACATTGCTTAAATTGGATTGCAACATTAGTGAACATAATGCTGCAATCATAATGCATAATGCTGGCACTCCACTGTTCAAGACTCTTTTTTAAATCTTGCTTCTATGGATGAGAGTTACAAGTTGATTTTAAACAATGTTTTCTTTCAGTTCTTTGGCTGTGGGCAGTGGAAGTATGATGGCCCGTGTTGGAAGCACAGTGGCTCCTTTCTGCGTTCTCTTGTCTGCAGTATGGATCTTCCTACCACAGGTAATGAGAATCACAGGTAATGGTTCCCCCCACCACAAACAATGTGCTGCAATGAGGCTCCACTGTACAATATCTAAGACAGAGATTACATTTAGTAAAATTGTAGGTAATGAAATAGGTAGTGAGATTATGGAACTTGCTGTCTGAAGTGTCTGTTGAATCAAGTTGTGTCAACGCATTCAAGAGGAAGCTGGACCTTCACGTGAAGGTGACGGCAATAGAAGGATATGGGAGGGTATAAGGAATGGGTGAAGAATCGTAGAATTTAATCACAGACTGGTTGGGTCGAGTGGTCTGTTTCTGTGCTGTACATTCTTTGCAAATCTTATAAATCTTTGTAATTGTAATTACCTCAAAGTGGAGGTCTTTCTGACATCTAACACTGGAGGAATTCTTCATTGGTTGCTAAATTTATCAACCTTGATGGTGTGACCTTTAAGATGGGATACAATAATAATAACAATAATATATTTTCTGTGACTCAAAAATAAATGTTATAATAATAATAATAATCCTTGCATTTGATATAGCGCTTTTCACGTCGGGAGGACGTCCCAAAGCGCTTCACAGAACACACTGTAAAGTGAATTGACTGTATATTTGTGGGCGAACGCGGCAGCCAATTGCGCACAGCAATGTCCCACGAACAGTCGTAGATTGAAAATGACCAATTTATTATTGTTTTTGGTTTTTGGAGGGATTATTATTAAGCGTGTGGAGTAAGGAAACTTGCTCAAGGTTTCACCCTGCCTGGAATTGAACTCAGGTCTCTCGCTTGCAAAGCGAGTACTCTAACCACTGAGCTACAGGACTCCATATTATAAATATCCACAAGTGTGAAAATGCTGGATTTTTTAAAAAAATAGTCTCAATCAATAAATATTTATAAACACATGTGTTCTTTATCTGTTTTTGGCAGCTCATTGTCGGAGTCATGGCCTTTGTGACTGGCTTGTTAACATTGATGCTCCCGGAGACCCTTGGCAAGCCCTTGACACAGACCTTCCAGGAAGCTACAGAATTGCAAGCAAAGGTCAAATTAGCCAAAATCAAAGGAGCCTCCCAGGCAGAGGCAGGATGTAGCAATGCATCAGTGGCAACGCTAGAAAAACAAAGCTATCCTATTGATGGGGCAGAGAAATTGAAGGAACAACAGCAGCTCATCGAACATTTAACAAAGTTATAGATGCTCAAACATTTATTCATAGCATAGGCTCTGAAACAGGAGATTTACAGTATCTGTGGACTGGTTAGGTGCCAGTCCTTTAAATCTGTTTACTAATACAACTTTAAGAGAGGTTTAGAAATATGAGAAAATCTAAAAAAAATCCTGAAATGAAGTTTTTTGGTTTTCCTGCTCTAGATGGAAGTTAGTTATCCCAGTAGTCTGCAAACTAGATATCTCACATGAATTGTGGTCCATGCTGACTTACATCTACTGGAATGTAACTACAAAATGAATATTGATTGATAACAGACTGATAACAGCCTACAGTAGGCTGCATTTAATATTCTTAGGAACTCTCTTTTCTAGTGAATAATTACTCCTGGATTCTGATCCACTGAAATTGTAAGAATATGTAATTTTTACGGTTTTCTAGGGCTGGATGCTGAAAGCTTTTTTTGAGGGAGAGGTATTCAGATTTACAAGAAACAAAGACCAATATTTGTATTAATTGTTCTCAACCAAAAGTCAAACAAGCTGATTCTGTTAACGGCAACTGCAATTTGAACAATACTGGATCACCTATAAGAAACATTGAACATATACTTTATATTTTACTGCTACCTGTCTCATAATTGCTAGCTATCCCAACTGTACTTCGGATTATTTTAAGAAATCATTTCATAAAAATCGCTCACAGATCACACACTACCTGTAGCCAAGAGGTCACCACTACTGCCTCGGAACAGCATGACTTCTGATTTCTGTTCCTCACTCTACGAAAACATCTGGTCTGTTCATGGCATCGACCCAAAGTGATATAGCTCAGAATCAACACTCTCCAGAGTGAGGAATTGAACTGATATCCTCACACTATGTGGTGCAACATATACATACATATAGAATCATTTTGAACTTGCATTCATAACAATTATTTTAACTATCGACAATACAAAAAATATTTTGTGCCAAACACTAAAAGTATTTAAACTGTATAATAATATGTCAGACAATGGGTTAGAGTAACCATTTGAAATTTGACCTCCACTAAATATTTTTTCCAATCTTTTTTGCTTTTCTCTCCCTCCTCTCACTTATTAATGATTCCAAATGGGGTTTCCCCCCAGTAACCAGAATGGCATCACTCATGGCTTGATGGCCAACAGGAATTCTGCTCCAAAAGCCGGCCACATAAGAGGGGAATTCCTGTGCGTTAGCGTAACGTGCTTATGGCTTCTCTATGAAGAAATCCTACTAGAAATGGCCACATGTAAGATCCCTAAGATTGGTAAGCTACCAGTCAGGGAAGTCTGGATGGAAATCTAGTCATCTTTGAGAATCTAATGTTGTAACTTACCCCTCGTGTTCTACATGTGGACCCGTTAAGTCCCGAGGAAGCATGTATTTGAACTCACGTCTATATTTTTGGTTTATGAAGAGAATGCCATTACTATACCACCGTCTCATTCACCTCATTCCTCCCAGATAGTAGTGCTTCGATTTCGCAGAAGCTTCGGAGCAACACTGTTCAAGTCATACATCAGTTAACTCATAGATTTCTGTGACTGTTTCTCCTATGTTTCAGAGTTCAGATTAAAACACGAGTGTAACAAGGACATATATCAAGCCTCCAATATTATAGAAGAGTGGGTGATATGATGTAGCAGTATTAAAAGCTGGATGGATCACCTTGTATTTCCAGGTTGCACAATGCAGCTCATTTGACAAATGATAAGTCAGTGCAAATTTGGATACATTACAGTTATGCATAACCGGCGTCCAAGTGCAATTGTTATTTTCCAGAGCATTGGTGCAAATTGGTGCTAAAATAATTAATAATAATAACCCTTCCATTTGATGTCTTCGAGATATCTCAAAGCTCTATACTGTAAAGCAAATTGACTATATTTTGTGGATGAAATGCGGCATTTCATGGCATTTCCATGCAAGCTACACTTTCTAATACCATTCATATCTGCTGTGACAATACTGTGACGAAAATGACAAAAGATGTGGAACAGTACTGTTACAGTACAAAATCTTATTTAGGTCCAAATTAAATTAATTTTCAAAACTAACCTTTTTTTTCTTGCATTGGGCAGGAAAAGTATTCTCTGTCAAATCCTAACTCAATGTAATACCATTTCATTTCATTAAGGCCTTTTATCACTTTGGAAGGAATCATTGACATAATATTTCAGATACTGTGGAATATTTTACTGATTGTTTTGAATAAAATACTACAACATAAATGAAAACATCCGCTTAAAGTTCTCTGAATAAAGTGACATTGGATAACTAGTGAATGTTAGCCCCTTCACTAGGAGAGATATAAAGCTAGGCTGGAAAAAAAGGTACTTAGGGCAGTGTTAACTTACATGAACAACATTCAAACCTCTATATGTTAGCATAGAGAAGTTTCTGTATGGTGCAAAGGCAGTAAATCTTCAAGCTTCAGCACCTCACCATATTCATATAATTAAGCTAAAATAAGTTTCATTTGTTCATAAGATGAATCAAATCACTATTTCTGGCAGGTCAAATTATAAATGGAGCCTACACCCTGGATATTTAAACAAATTATTTGTGGATGTCTGAAACAAAATCAAATTTGTGATAAGAGAATTTTTGTATTCAAGTCAGTGTATTAAAACATCATGTGTATTGTATTTACCTAAAAATGTATCGGACCACAAGATGTGAAATCTGATTGCTGTGAATATAACTTTAATTTCTTGTAAATATGCCAGCTCTACTAACTCTTCCCTAGTGGAACTACTGCTTTTCATGTGTTTTTGCGGTTAGTTTAAGTCCACGTATGCATCATGAAATAAAGTTAGGCTTTAGCTAAGGCAACAACACATTGTGTATTAGTAGTGTTCAGTTTTGTGCAGGTGAGAAACAATACTTCTGAAAGTTCTCATGTTGTTGAGTGTCTGTCCAACTAATCTTATTTCATTAAGTCCTTTATCGATTTGTATCATTTCACTTTATCACTTTGGAAGGAATCAATGGTGTAATATTTCAGATATTGTGGAATATTTTCCTGAGTAAGTTTTCTCTCACTTTACAAGAGGACTCTATCTATTTTTTAAAAAATGGCAAATTAGTATAAACTGTCTCTATCTTCTGTGGAAAGTTTCAAAGCTTACGCAAAGAGCACAAGCTGGCCACAACAATGTCATCTTTCTTAGAACATTTAGCTAGTAGCAGAAATATCAGATTGCATATTCAGAGGAATTCTCCTCCCCATTTTCTGTTGAGGTTTATTTTTTCTTTAGAACTGTATGGTCACACATTAATCCTTAGCAGAGGAGGTCAACGGGCCAGCAACTTATTCCCAGAATGCTGCTAATGCTACTGTTAATACCAGTGGCTGTGAGGCGCCCATGAAAGGTTGAGTGAGTTCACCAGTGGGTCTTTCCTCATTTCTGGGGTGTGGGTGGGGGGGTGGGGGGTGGGAAGGGGGAGAAAAGTGTCTGACCTCTGCTCACTCTTATCAGAATGGCTAAGATAATGAACTTGCCACATGTGAACACTCCATCACATAGTGCAATGTCGCACAACTGTGCTGCAGGTCATTTCATGATTTTTAAGAAAACCCTCCAAATGTACCCTTTTTCAAAGAAAGGTAGAGTTCTCCATTTTAAAAACAAAGTGATATTGGCTTCTTTGATTTGAGAACCCGTTTGTTTACTTAGTTTTGCTTAGTTTCAAAGTTCATAACAGACTAGTTCAACCTATTGATGTGAAGTCACGATGACATGCTGATGTGATATTCCCATTGACTTTGGGAGCAAATCTTTGGTGCAGATTGGTGTTTTTGGAATGCTGCGAAATTTGCTTTTCTATTGCTAACACAAGATTTTTTTTCTTTAATAAATTTTATTGATATGATTAAGTTTTTTATGCATTTTACTAGTAATGCTACTTTTTTCACTTACAGTCACATATGAAACACATGTTCTTTATCAACTGGATTTATGGCAGGCTGCACCCAATGCAACAGACTTGGAGCAAAACTGCTAACAATGCTATCCAGCTGAATCTAAGGAATAATAATAATAATAATCCATGCATTTGATATAGCGCCTTGTCATTGAGACATCTCAAAGCACTTCACAGAATATGTTGTAAAGTAGATTGACGATATATTTTGTGGGAGAAATGCAGCAGCCAATTGTACACAGTAGCGTTCCACAAACAGTCGTGGATTGAGTGATCAATACTTTTTTTGGAAGGATGATTACCCCTGGAAAACAATCTGGCAATCTACTTAAAAAACAGATTCCTACTTACTGCTAGTAAACAGAGGCGTGAGGAATAAGGAAATTTGCCTAAGGTTTTGCCCTGCCTGGGAATCGAACCCGGGTCTTCATGCTTGCGAGGCGAGCGCCCTAACCATTACAGGATTGCACTGGCTGACGGAGTGCATCTGGTTTCTAAATACATTCAACTCGTCCTCTCAAATGTAACATTTTAGGAAGGCTGGTGTGGTGAATAGTAATGTCATATAGGAGATTGTTGGCTGGGGAGGATCTCTCTTGAGACTGAGTTTAAGGCTTATTATTGGAACAGATTAAAGGGTATTCAATTCTGTACCTGGTTACCTGTATCTGAAGTCCTTGATTCTGACACAATGTCAATGCAGAAGCTGTAGTTGAAGCAATTAGGATTGATGTATTTAAAAATAATAATCCTTACATTTGGCATAGTGTCTTTCACATTGGGGGGACACCCAAAGTGCTTCACTGAATATACTGTAAAGTGTAGTGACTGTTTTGTGAGTTCAAATGGAAGCCAATTTATATACAATAGTGTTTGACAAACAGTGAATGACCAATTTTGTTTGGAGGGTTAGTTGGCCAGGAAACAGGGAGAAATTCCCTTCTCTGTTCAAACAATGCCATGGGATCTATCATGTCCACCTTGAAAGGCAGATAGGACCTTGATGTCTCATCCAAAGGACAGAAAACTGAAAAATGAATGCTAGCTCAGCTACACTAGTGTATAGATAGTCATGGACTGCCAAATTGTGTTATCAGCAGGATTACTGGTTCATAAAATAATGCCAAGACTTTTCAATTACTAAACAATATAAAGAGCTTTAATCGCAAAGAACATTATTCAATGCAAAATTTAATACCATTTTATGTCCAAGATGAGAAGCTATGATTTATTAATTTTGCAGATGGCTTCAGTAGTAATTTTGCAATTGGCCACACCTAAAAGATATCTCTGTGGTCAGAATCATTTATTTGAAGTGAAAAGCAGTGCAATGGGTTATACATCTGGCCAAGCCTGAATTAACAAGTATGTAGGAAATGTAATCATTTATTTTAACCTGTTCAATAATTTCTTTTAATTCACCACTCGCAAGTCTTTTTAAACTTAGATTCCAGATTTTAGAGATATTTACAACCAGGCATTTCAGTACTAGTATCCCTGACTGTTCAGCCCTTGGGACGTCCTCCCGACGTGAAAGGTACTTTACAAATGTAATTTTGTTGTTGTAATAAGATCAAGAGAATAAGGAAATTTTACAAGATTTCTCTAGTTTAGAAACAAGCAAAAATTATAATAATTCTTACATTTGATACAGCACCTTATCATGTCAGCAAGACATCTCAAAGGGCTTCACAGGATTTTACTGTGAAGCGTAGTGACTGCATTTATAGTCCAATGCAAAGGTCAATTTGCACACCACAATAATAATGCTTGCATTTGATATAGCGCTTTTCACGTCGGGAGGACGTCCCAAAGCGCTTCACAGAACACACTGTAAAGTGAATTGACTGTATATTTGTGGGCGAACGCGGCAGCCAATTGCGCACAGGAATGTCCCACAAACAGTCGTAGATTGAAAATGAACAATTTATTATTGTTTTGGGTTTTGGAGGGATTATTATTAGGCTCTGTGTGGAGTAAGGAAACTTGCCCAAGGTTTCGCCCTGACCTGCCGGGGATTGAACTCAGGTCTCTCACTTGCAAAGCGAGTGCTCTAACCACTGAGCTACAGGACTCCAATACCCCACAAACAGCCACAAAGTGGTTGTGCAATTTTATATGGGGGATTGTTGGCCAGGATATTGAAAGAAACTCCATTCTCTTTGAATCGTAGCATGGATCTTTACCAAGCTTCGCTCTGAGTTAAGCTAACATGGTACTCTATATTATTTGATCCTGCCTAGTTGCATTCTATAAATGACCTCCATTGCTGTCAGTGGCACCATACTTCCGTATTCCACAATATTTAATTAACTATATCTATACTTATCCTTATGCCCTTTAGTCTTGACCATATACTTTGAAATGCACTAATAGCATTAGCTGTGATTCTATACTATGCTGCAATTTTTTTTTGCTGTTTACAACTTGGATCATACTGATCACATACTATGATCACATACTGATCACATACTATTGTGGTATTCCTGTCATTTTATTAGAATTCCCAAACTGTAAATCTTGGCTTTTAGCTAAGGTTCAATAGGTCACTTCCATATGTTGAACTGTTTAATTTGCATTATTTCATATTATGTCCCATTGAATGCCATGTAATGATGAAATAAATTAGTATTCTAAGAGCAATAATCATATAGTTACTAGTAAAAAATACCTAGCTCTCACAGATTGTAGAAGCTCAATATTTCTTAATTATAAACTCTTGTGGGACATGTCATTCAGGATAGGCATCTTGTGGCAAAATTCTAAAGCAGATAACTTAGCCAGCAGAAGAACATATTTTGTATCAGAGGAGGGGACCAGATGTTTACTACTTTGGTCTTTATCTGGTGTCTGCCACCATTGAAAGAATCCTTCTTTGGCATATTGATTCTTTACTTTAAATAGAAAGCTACTAGCTGGATATATATTTCAGAGTGTCAGAACCATGTGTAGGTTTTACTGGTGATGGTGAAAATTGCAGCATTGACTTTCACCAAAAACAATCCATGTTAATCCCGTGAACACTTTTGTAGGCTGCGTCTGTTCCCTCCACCCAAATTATTAATAATAACAATCCTTACATTGTTTTTATTGTGTACTCTACACAGCTCAAAGCGCTTCACAGAATTTACACATTCTTGACAAGTCTCATTCAAAATCAGAATAGACCCAAAATCTTCAAAACCCTAAAGCGTTTAGATAAACTGAATGCTAATAACATGTTTAACAGACAATAAAAAGACTCAGGTTTAAGAGGTAAGATCAACTGACAATTCAGATTTATTTCAGAATAATCCTTATATTATAATCC